CATAGCGCCCCCTGCAGGCTCCGCGCCGCTTCCCTGCCAGGCTACAGCCCCTCCCCCAAGGCCTAATGACAGCAGCTCCGCCCTGTCAGCCCAGAGGGGGCCTGCGGGAGGAGGGTGACCAGGTGTCCGCTTTTGAACTGGCCAGCCCAGTATTTGAGTTTTCTGTGCAGGAAACAAATTGAGACAACACAGAACGCCGGGTCTTTTCTAATTAGCACGTTTTATTATTATCATGCTAGGACATGACTTGCGCAGGAGTATTCTCGCTCACTCGCCAGGCCTGAGCGATGCACTACTGTGCCAATGCGCTGCGTGGATACCAGTGTGAGTACCTGCTCATCCCGTGTGCGTGTCTACCAGCCAGGCACTACGCACCTACGCAGTAGTGCTGAATATTTTCCTTTTATAAACGTACCAGTGGTGTCCTTTGTCTAGCTTTCATCTTTCTCGTATCTCGCAGCGCTCTTTTAAGGTAAGGAATATTTGGCAGCTTTATCAAAAAAAGGTCACACAATCTAATGTAAAATATATGATGTACTGTAAATAAACTTCCCATATCATGTATATTTTTGGGGTCCACAAATTTTTATTAAGTATGTCCAGTAATTTTGTTGAAACCATCTGGCAACCCTACCGGGGATTGCTCTCAGTGTTACTGCCACCACCTCGTTCACTTGCTGAAACCTCGAACAGCGGTTCCATAGCCCATAGGGTTAGTAGATGTGATCGCCATTCTGTCTGGTGATCACAGCAAGGGGTTACCGTGGTCCACGGTGAGCAGGGTTCTTGGTCTTCCCAGAAGAGAAAAGGGGGAGGGGAGGTTAGAAAAAACGGGAAAGAGAAGGCGGGAGTTGCTAGGAGATGGAAGTCCATATAGGGGGGACTCTCACTTGAGGGCTCTCCAAATCGCTTCTCAGAGAGAGTGGGCACATGGCAACCAGTTTCCTGAGGAAAACTGTCTTTCCAAAAGGGCGTGGGAGCTGTCAGTCGGAGGCAGCTGCTCACTAGTTGGATAGGAACATTTTGGTGTTTGTTACATTACTTGGGAACAGACATATAGTCACAGATTTATTTTGGTTAGGTAGAGCTCACACGCACACAAGACGGCACAAAAGGGTGGAAGCTAGTTAAGTAATTTTAATGTGCTGCTGCTCCAGTCAACATCCAATAGCCTCATCTCAGAGGAGGTGGTGATAGCAGGCAGGCCACAGTATTGATATCCGTGAGGCAAGGTAAAAGGCTTCCATCATTTGAGACAAAAGGAAAAAAAATGTAGCACTTTAAAGACTAACAAGATAGTTTATTAGGTGATGATCTTTTGTGGAGCAGACCCACTTCTTTCAGAACATATTCTGAAAGTGAATTGGCATGACCAGGGCTCGACAAATACGCTTATCTACTCGCCTGTGGTGAGTAGATTTCAGCTGGTCACCCCATTCACCAGCAGTCCACGCATGTGCGGTGCGGGGCTGGTGAGTGGTTTTTGCCACGATCGTCGAGCCCTGGGCATGACCATGTAACAAAGTAATACAATGAAGGAAATAAACAAATGATGTACTGACAAATCAGATATTAGAACAGAAGGTGGGGGTGAGGGGCAAGAAAGAGATAAGGAAGGAGGAAATAGCTTATCGTAAGTCAATAAGGGGCTATTCTGGAGTTACTACGACTATCAATAGGTGAGGAGGCTGTCTTTGTAATGTGTAAGGTAATTAGCATCTTTATTAAGGCCCATTTGCAAAGTGTCGAATTTTAGCACGAATAAAAGTTCTGAAGTCTCTCTCTGTAATCTGATGTTAAAGTCTCTTTGAAGTAACAAAATACAGGACTAGGTAGCACTTTAAAGACTAACAAGATGGTTTATTAGATGATGAGCTTTCGTGGGCCAGGAAAGCTCATCATCTAATAAACAATCTTGTTAGTCTTTAAAGTGCTACATAGTCCTGTATTTTGTTTCAGGTACCCTAGACTGACACAGCTTCATTTCTATCACTATTCTTTGAAGTAAGACGCACATTGTTAGGTCTTTAAGGGAATGGCCAGATAGATTAAAATGTTGACTTACTGGTTTTTCCCTGTGAAGATGTCTGATGTCTGATTTGTGGGCATTAATTCTTTGGCGAAGTGACTGAGCAATTTGTCTAATATACATCGCAGAGGTGTTCCATGGCAGCTGGAGGTGTGCTGCAAAGAACAACAGAGATCAAAATGGCCACCCTTAAACCGGCAGGCAACCTTTTTTTTTTTTTTCTCAAAAAATCTTTGGTGCTCCAAAAAATTATGTTTTGGTGTTCATCGTTCTTAAAAAGTTTAAGAAACACTGCCTTATTGTATGGGGAGTCACCTGGCCACTCCCTACCAATCACTGCTAAGCCTTAAGGACAAAAGGCTATTTGCATATGATTGCCCAGACACTGCGGCCTCCCTTAGAATCTTAGAACAGTGTTTCCCAATTTTATTTGGCTGAGGAACCCTGTTCAGCTTTTCAGAATTTCAAGGAACCCCTAGGTTTGTCAAGCAAAAAAAAAGGGGGGGGAGGGAAAATCCCCACCAATGCATGAAAATCACATTCCTTCCCCAAGACCCCCTCCCACC